GGGGGGGGGGGGGGGGGACACAACAAAAACAAAAACAAACAAACAAACAAACAAAACACAAAACAAACACCACCACCAAACAAAAAACAGAAGAGAAAAAACTTTTGGGACTGGTACATGTTAGCTGCTTTATTAGGAAACAGTAAATATTGCACTATTACAGAAGTGCTTCCTTCATCTAAGCATTCCTTTGGGTCACATAAAAGCCACGAAACACCTTCCTAAACGCAAAAAGCTGAATCGGTTTTGCACAGTAGTTAAACCTGTGATCTAACTTGATTAACAAAATCATATGAGGTTCATGCTCAGACACTGAGAACTTTCTGCTTGCCAAAAAAAATAGTCTTTTTCAGAAAAATCTTTTTTCCTATGGATTAATATGTCAATTGTAAAAACAAAGAAACAAAACAACCTCCAACATATATGCCTTCATGGTGGGACAACTTATTAGCATAATCAATAAATTGGCACATGCCCCAGAGACATATCAACAGCCCTTAATAGGAACAAGACCATAAGTCAAAAGCTGGCCTGGAAACTACCAAGACATTTCCTGTTTTCTTCTGGAATTTTTGTAAACTCCACAGGCATCGTCACAAACATACGCAGGCAGATCATGAGAAATCAGGAAACTACTGGGTAATTCATTAGTGTCTTCTCCCTTCAAGTTAACTGTTTTGGAAAAAACTACAGTACCACAGTATATTAAGAAAAAAAGCATGAAATTAAGCAAAACCAATGGGGCTGAAGAGTTACAAGTGATGTGCCTGTATCACCAATAAACCTTACCAAAAGCACGGTATATAATCTGGCTCATGATGATAGCTCGTTTCAATTCAAAATGAATCCAATTCTATTTCCCTCTAAACTTAGAAAGGCTTGAAGGGACCACTTTCCATGTTCTTTCAAAAGGCCAACATGCTTGAAGAACAGCCTAAACTCGGAATACCAAAAATAAGCATTCTACCCTGTCTTTAAAAGCAAGATAATAAAAAGAGTTTCCCTTCTTCATATGAAATATTTTCAACTTAAATCTATCACAAGACAGAGGTCACTGTGTTACACTAATAGACAAGAGAATTTAAAGCAAGAAGGTTCTGTCTTTTATCTCACTATGTGTCTGAAACCCTGAGACTATTCGTGTCTGCTTCTAATTTTACTTACCCTGATTTGACTTGCATCAGTGTATGAAAAATGTCTATCTATAATATGATCTATTGTATGAATAGTATGCTATTCTCATGTCAATAAAACATAATGTATTTTTTCATTAGATTAGGGACCAGGAACAATATTTTCTTTCCAGATGAAGATTTTGGATCTTATAGTATGTAAATTCTTTGATATTTAAGCTTCTTATAGAATACATAAAAGTCATCCTACAGAATTAGTAAAATTCTTTGCAAAAGAATGTGATTCATTGGCATTTAACTGTATAACAGCTGAAAATAAGCATTTAAATGGTTTCAGGAAACTAAAATGTATTAAATAAGCAAGCTGAGGATGCAAGTAGCATAAAAACCTTCCAGTTATGTTCCTGTTGCCTTTTTTCTGTTCTTGTTTAGCATGCAATTAACAAATACACTACTTCCTCTCTGCTAACAGCCTAAGGAGCTTAAGCTGTTAATAGTGCTAGCACTGAATGACTTGAGTGGTACAACATTCCTGTCTTTATCTTTAAAATGACAACACATGGGTGATTTACAACCCTCTTAATTCTTTTACAATCACTGGTCAAATGTACTGTGACCAATCCAGCTCTGCAAGATCACATGAGGGAAGAAATTACTGTACATAGAATTACGTTATCCAGCTTCACACTACACTGTCATCCCAAATGCCTTGAAGAGATGCTCAAACTGAGATAACAACTGAGGTCACATCATATCCCCCAGTCCTTGTGAAAGAAAACCATTAAAAGACACAACAAATGTTTCCTTTTTGCTATTTATAGGTCGGACTGGTACACAGATATATGATGCAGCATTTTTTGGCTAATTAAGAAAAATAATACATAAGAACCTGAGTGTGCCTGATTGAAAAAAGAGTTCTACCTTCGATTATATTCCACTTTTCCCAATATAAAATCTATTTTAATTTAATCATTTTAATTTAATCATTTTGATAACTTTAATATTCAGTTCATTCATATGATTGCAGATCTTCCCTATTTGGGTTGATTTGGATGAGGCTAATGACCATCAGAAAGGCTATAATAAAACTAGATAGGAGAACTTAGCTGTATGTCAGAAGTTAGACTTTTAAATAGCTGAAAAGCAAGAAACTGAAGTATCCTACAAACAGTATTATTCAAACACATAGTACTACCTGATTACACATAGAAGAAAAATTTCAACTTATAATAATTCATATTTTATATTGTGATAACAGCAAAAAGTCGTAGGTGAGGATCCAGAACCCATGCTATTGTTCAGACAGTGGAGAATATTACCCCTACCTCAAAGAGATACATCAAAAATGTCATAAATTTTTGTAGTCCAAACCATCATCAAACTGTTTACATGCATATAGTAGCCTGAAAGCTCCACTTTAACAGACCTACAGTCTCTCCATGTCAGTATTTGGAAAGCTAAATTAGAGACAGGCAGCAGTTCAACTAGACCAGTTACCAGATGTGCAGTTCCAGGAACTAGGACATAAACCAGTCAGACAACGATTTTAGCCTTGGACTAATGGATAGAAGGTGATGAAGCATTTTTAATGAACTGTCTCACTCTATATCTTTCAAAGCAAACATAGCCAGCTCTGAGTTGTTATCTTGTTGTGCATCACCATTGAGTATTACTGTAGACATGGAACAGAAATAGGATCTGCTGAACTCACTCTGTGAAAAAAGACTAGCTATTAATTATAGCCCACAGAAGAATTCACTTACTGCAATCACATACACTTACCCAACAGGGCATTGTGCCCATTGTCATCTGGCAGGAATCTTTTATCCACAGCACACACTAAAAGGTGATCAGGTAAATTTGGTGACTTTGCACCAACAAGTAAAAACCCTGATGGGACCTCAATATGTTCATTGGAAATTGAAACCAGTCTCAAATCTTTACCAGCCTGGCAGAAACCTAGAAAAAATCAATTCAATGTATTTTAAGTTGACAAGATTTTTTTTTCATTTAATACTCACAATTGTCTTCATTAAAGGACTTCCTATATTTTTAATGAAAAACAAAGTTGTATCGTCTGAGGTCAAGGGTAAGCTAAGAGATAATTTTCTTCCCCGCCTTTAGGTCAGCCATAAACAGATGCTACCAGTACAATAAACAAACAAAAATCTGAAAATGTACCGTGAAGTTTCTCTTGATGATGTTTTACAACCTCCATACTTATGGGATTATTTACTAACATCATCATAATTTAGGTCAGTTATTCAAAAATGGAGATGAGTTCTCAATATCTGGTGAATTTCACTGGCTTTTCCCGTGTTTTCAGATATTTTTTACAGCAATATTGAATGAGGTACACTTTAAATAGAAAAGAGCAAATTACCACATTCATGTTAGCAAACCCATGCCTGCAAACTCAACCTTTTAAAGGTCACCTTGTCTAAATGAACAGAAGTTCTGCCCTCATGCCAGGCATTCCAACATAGATGCTTATCTGACACACTGGGCAAAGACCCTGTCAAGTGTAAAAGAGCCACCAAGAACAATCTGGGAGGTATTGAACACTGACATTTTTAGGATTTCTGTATCGTATATACTATCTCATTCTGATGAATTGCAAGGGAAATGGGCCCAATCCTACCTTATTCCATAGGGCAAACACCTTCTGACAGCATGTGTATTGGATTTCTTACCATCAGTAGTGCAACATCCTTCTGGAGGAGGCTTCATCTGGTAGGAAACGGGAGGACTACTTGATTCTGATCCTTCTTCCTCCTCTTCTTCTTCTTCTTCCTCATTATCTGCTCTGCTGCCTGCTACAAATTATCACAGTATAAATGACTCAGACAACATAAAACAGGCAACAAAACAATGAATGAACAGGGTGACCCAGTTATAGAAAGTATTACAGCAAACTGGATTCTCTCCTCTTGACAATGACTTTACTGCTGCCAACTCTTAAGATATTTGTTGTTTCCTTAAAACTCCAACTCCAGTCATGCTTACCATAGAAAAAAACCCTTTTAGCTTCTGTGCAAAAAAAAGTTCAAAAGCATGACCCACCTGCACCTGAGAAAGTAAAAAATAATAAAAGACAAATAAAAAGAAGCCTCAACTTACGGGTTTGGGATTTTTTTTTAAATTTCATTATTTTTTAAGCTAGCCTCATGATTTTTAGAGGGCTAAACTCCTGGTGTTTGAACTCTTGCTGATCAAAACAGTGTAACTGTATCCTTTGTTTGTATTATTAGAAGCCAATATAAATCCAAAGCCATTACTTCTTAACACTTTAGAATGTCCTGGCTGCACTCCATGTACAGATTTTGTTAATTAGGTATTGACCATGTCCTTGATGTTGTACAGGAGACTGAAGAAACGGTTCCTGCTTGAAACTAGGTTCACCACAGATGATGCCACAATAAGAACACTTAATTCTCAGGCCGTCTGTCTTCTACCAGAATCCAGAGTGCTGAGCAAAGTACTGCCACCCCCTGTACAACGTCAAGGCAAGGCAGATGTCTAGGAAGATGATTCACAGAAGCCTATGCATGGACTGTGCTAGTCCATGAGGCAACACTGAATGCTGGAAGGAAGAATACATGATGTAGGCTTAATTTTTTAAAGGTTTTTAGGTGTTTCTTCTCCAGATCCTCTGCTGTAAACTACTTTTCTGGGGCACCGTCTACCTAAATCATCATTTTTACCCAATGGCATACTTGTTAAGAGAATTGACCTGCATTTATTGGTCAACATTTCAGCCTTTAAACTAGAGACTGCTTCTTTCCTTCTTTCCACCCATAGGGCAATAATTTTTTCATGCATTACGCAACAGCTCCAGCAAAACTTACTGAGCAATAACTCCATTCCCTCTTATGTCTCAGACACACTCATGGTAAATGGGACAAAGCTGGCAAGCAGAGGAGTGCAACTAAATGGTAAATGGGGAAAACACTTCTACGGATAGGACTAAGGAGAATTTCAGACCAGATCCAGCCTTACATATGACAGAGATAGGGGAAAAGTACTAAGTGAACACAGTGGGTCTTAAGTCTTCAGCTTCTAGCTTCTTGACTTCTGTAGGGATATACCTGCAGCAAATACAAAGAGCTTTCACTGGCAAGATTGCATGATGGAGGGTTGCAGGTACATGAGGATCAGCAAGAAGCTGAATAGCTGTTTGGACCTGGGCAAGTAAAATAGCAGTTAGGCTCCTATGTTCCTTTGTTGATTCAGTTTATAATCTTGAAAAACAATGAAGCACACTGCAGTCGTCCTCCAAAGCTCAGTGTCCACTTGACATACGCCCTTTGCTTCAGCTCACTTTAGACCAGGCACTCAGAATCACATTGGATATGTTTTTATTTTATTGACAAATTATTGTAGAATCCGCTAAATAAATATTACAGAATTAGGGAGGAAGCTGAAGAAAGTAAATCTGGAGTTTGGTGACTTGTCTCTAAAGGTTATTAAGACACCCCAATCTAGAAGAGGATTTGAAGGGTATATTTACTTTTAAGTATCTAAACATCAAGCTTCAGTCCTGGTGCACACAGATAAGGGTAGAACATTACACATGACCGTTTTAAGGATGTAGTCTAAAGACAAAAATGCTGAAAGTGAACAAAGGGAAAAGTGAAGCTCTCAGTCTTTGCTGTTTAAGTCAAGGGTGAGTTATGTCTCCTGACTTAATCTTGATTAACATCCAAATGCAATGCAAAAGGAGTGAATCAGGGTCTCCTCTCTTTCCCCACACTCCCAGCCATGAAGTTCCTTCCTTTCTCTTTGTGCCACCTCTGACACTTACAGGAGCCTATGCTGAGCCATCCCAGCTTGCTAACTCAGCAAAAACCAAAGCAAACAAAAGTGACTTTTTTTTTACTGGGTTTATGTATTAAAGTAGCTCAGTGGAAGATCCAAAAAATACCAGAATTGATAAAAAGGGAGAAAATAGGAAGATATGACATGACAAGATATGACAGGAGTGGGGGGAGCATTGAGTGGGATTTTCCCCTTTGGGCAGTGGTAAACTGTTAGGTTTGTTCAGCCATACAGGTAATTTCACATTAAAAAAAAAAAAAAAGATACAGACAAAAAATGGAAGTGGACACTGAGAAATAGGACAGCTATAGCACTCTCAGGTCAAAAATGAAAAGAGTACAAGAGCAAATATGTACCTATAATAGACAAGAATGACCTCCTGTCATCTCTAAAGGACATCATTAGGGTTTCTGCTGCTTGTTTTTAAAAAAAGCCTACATTTTCTTATTCCATTTTAAAGCAGGGCCTTTTCAAAGAACTCTACATTTGCATGTGTCTGTTCCATATCTTCTTTTGTTAAACAATCCCAACAGAACGCACAACCAAACATTCAAAACCAGAGACAAGATGGTGACAAAAGTGGACTCAGTACCATAGTTCTGATGTGGTATGTTACAGAACTAGGCAGTTGTCTGATGCAACTTGATATAGCTCCATTAAACCAACAGACATACTGTGAAGATTAAATTTAAATTTATTCATAGATACCATAAACACCATTCTTTTCTTTAGTTCTTTTCAGTTCTCACAAAGGATTTATTAAACCTTTATGTTATACAGTTGTGATTAAGACTTTAATTTCACATGGAAAATTCTTCTCTCCTTAAGGTATAAATATAAATTAAGTTCTGGAAATATTTTAATCCACACACAATTTTTTCTCAGTGGGACTATTCATAGGGCTAGTATTATCTGCAAACAGTGTCAGGGCTTAAATGAACAGGCACAAAATATATTGTATCCATGGACAGCCTCCTTAAATGCAGATCAAGGAAGGAACCAGTTAACCACAGACACAAGAGAGCTGCCAAGTTCACGTCAGAACGTGGTGCTGCTATCAGGTGTCGAATACAACAATACTCAACAATCTCACTGCAGTGAAGCCAACTGCCACACTGCTGCTCTGCATTGTTTCGCCATGCCATTTCCTACCCTGGACCCACTGAAGTCCCAGTGATATTGGCAGTATAGGACTTGGATGCTAACAGAAAATTGTTTGTCATTAACTTTTGAAATCAGCTTCAGACCTCTTTGGCACAGACATAATGCATAGGCTAAAAGATGGCAAAAAACAACAATGAGGGGGGAGGACAGGGGCTTATACAAGACCCCAAGGATGGCTCTCTGCTTCAGATGGCTCCTGGCCCTCAGAGCACAGGGATTCATGTAGGTAGAAGTGGAAATTTTAATTTATGATGAGGCTGGAGTACATGATGCCAGGTTGCAGACCCCTCCCACCTGAAGAACAACCTAGGAAAAACTCTATTACAGGTCCCTTCAGAGATTCCCTTGTCTGAAACTTTCATGAAAGGAATGTTCTCTGCCAGGCTGTTGTGAGACTTTTAATTAATTACAGTTCAATTCTGTTTCCATTAACTGCAAAGAAAACAGAATCAGCCCTTCAAGGTTTGGAAAGTTCTTTGAAAGCCTTGAAAGAAAGAAGTTACAGAAGCGTGAAATTGTGCTTTTGTTCCTGAACAATGCATCTGCCTCTGTAGCACCTTTCCCAACTGATGTCATAATCCATTTTGTGACATCACAGTTGGTTGCCATGGAAAAGTTTATGAAATCCTCATAGAAGGGTGTGATAGAGTAGCATATATATTTAAACAATGAATGTATATTCATTATTATGTCCTACATTAGCAAAAAAAAAAGAAAAAAAAAAAAAGAAAAAAAAAGACATGACTAACGATGTGTGAGCTGTGAGCAGATTTACTTTTTAAGCAATGTTTTCTCAGCTGTTACCATGAGGTAATAGTAAAGAGTTTAATCTCTGCAAAATACTTTTATCTACTACTATTTGGGCTATTTTTTTTTCTGTTACTGTAGATCGTTAACCATTATGCATTTTTCATTACATATATATCTAAGCCACCTTTAGCAAAGTATGAAGGGGAAAGCAAACCTGGTCAAAAGACAAAACACCATCCTGGTGACAGAAATGGCTAAATAATGAAATTATTAAACGTAACTTTGCACCAACATGCCAGTGTTCTTCACACACCAGTAAACTCACCAAAAACGGTGAGACCACTACACATAACAGCACACCAGAACACCAAATAGTGTCATTAGTTTGCTTATCAGATCTATACAGTTCATTTAAACTATACTACTTTCAAGAAAAAGAAAAGACTGAGCAAACGAAAGTCAGAAAGCAGGCTTCTCTAAACGAACACAAAAATTCAGTGAGAAATCCCATTTGTTGAATACCAACTTGTGCAGCATTTATGAAAGAACACATCATAATTTTTTACCTTTGCAACCACAGAATAGCTAAAAATATTATGCTCAAACTAATTAGAAACCTTCTTAAAAGATAAAAATATATCTGCTATATTTATTCACAATGAAAATCAGTTCTTAGCATATATCTTTTAGAAACATATCATGTGTTTACCAACACTTTCAGTATAACTTTCAGCAGTGTATGATAAATTATAGGATAACATATTTATGTTCCAAATCTCCAAAGATTTCTCTACACATTTAATGGAACATTTCCCAGTTCTTCAATTTATGTATATTGATAAATCTGAGCAAGCAAGGGGCTTAATTTTGTCAAAATAAAAGACGACGTAGCTTGTATTTTTAATCCAATTCTAATATATATATATATTTGTAGATCATTAAAAATCCAAAGAAAAACTTTAAATACTTTTAGTTTTCTGTATTCTGATTTGAAATGTGTGTGCTGAGCCTTGGGAAAGCAAACAGCAAAATTGTATTTAAGTAAAAATATAAATTCCACTCTTTCCTACCTTCCAGTGATGACAGTTGCTGTTCAGCTTCCAAATACAACTGAGAAAAGATTGGTCTGGGAACCAGGTTGTTTGAGCGGAGAGAGGCCTCAATAGAATTATGCAACACTTCTTCAAACCGTGTTGTCTTGAGCTGACCAGCGTAAGAATTTCCCATCTTCTCAAAAAACAAAACAAAACAACCAAAAAAAAAGACAAGAAGAAAAAAGATATTTCAGTTTTAGCACTCAGAACTCGATCAGTGCATGTTGATGTCAGACTACAACATTTCTCATGAAAGAGAGAAGCTTCATTGTCCACAAAGAAAGGCAAAGGAAAAGAACATTGACTGCAGCAGTCACTAAGCAGATCCTGCTGGTAAATTACAGGAAGTTATCTAAATGTAACAGCTTTCTGTAATTCAGCAGAAAGGCAGCAAGCTTTGACACCTTCTTGAAGATGTGGCTAGAAATCTGATTCGAGTAATTCCTTGGTTTATATAGCAACTGGGAAGATGCATTTTCAACAGTCATCTGTTAAACAGCCTTTCTGGTTTATATTATTTGAACAGAATAAACACTAAAGGAGCTGAGGAATTTGCACAGTTTTTAGTATTTATCTCTGCATGGCCCATCATGGCTGAAAACGCATGGCTAAAGCAGTTCAACATATCTTTTAGAGGTGCTGCCTTGTAAACAATGGAGCACTGCTGTAACTCAGATATTGTGAAATATAACAGCTTTTCCTTCTCACCTTAAACAATATTTTTCCCTGTAAATATGCTTTTTCTGGGTTGGTTTTGGGGTTTGGTTTGGTTTGTTGTTTGTTTGGTTTTTTGTTGGTTTTTTTTTTTTTAGAAGGAGATATTATCAATTATCTACTTGATTTTGCATTTAATTATTAGGACTTTACTGTTAGTGAAACGACATAATTTATTAATTCTGTCATTGAGGAGTCAGTCTATTCCAGCTGAATCTCTCACATACTGAACTGCCGCATGCATTCCACAGTGAATACAATGAACTGGTATAACCAAAAGCCAAGTCAGCTTTCTTTTCCTATTACAAAGTAGCTCTTGCCCTGGGCCCCATGTCCTTTACCTCCTCAAGTAACTGTGAATAGAAAGCATGAAATGCTTCCTGTTTGTGGCAGTAATTCCTAACCACTGAACAGCCCCTCCTCAGCACTGGGTACTGCCTGGGAAATGAGCCTGTTGAGAAGCATCCTGTAGGAATCAGTCAAGCAAAAGAAAAAACTACCGTGAAACCACATACTGCTCTTGATGGAAAAGGGCTTTGAAAGGAACAATATACAAAGTTGACAATCTGGATATCTTTTTATGACTTTGTAAAGCATATTCAATATTATATAATCATATTTTTGTATACTTGTATCATGTTTACATATAGAAGCACAATAACATAAAACAATGGGGGTATTAATTAAAAACATGATCTAGATTAAAAGCAGGCACTAATGACAAAATATTCGTGTATATACACAAAAACAAACAGAAAAGTTGCAGTGAGAAGTACTGATGGTGAAGTGTAAATGGGAAGCTGCAAAGCCTGTTAGTGATGTTCTGTATTAATATGGAAGCAAGGATGTATCTTCTCTTCCAACACAAAAAGCAGATTACAGTTCGCTTTCTGCACTGATAGGAACCCTCTGGCTCCTCTTGTTTTAAGTACTGCTTCACCTACACCAAACACAGCTGAAGACAATGAGAAAAGCCTGACATCAGTATTGCCCTTAAAAAGCTTTATCAGAGGTGTATGCAGGAAACCCAAGGTCAAGCACTGAACTGAATTATATTAAATTCTGTTTCTACTCAAAAGCACTAGAAGATGTTCAGTTCTAATTCTAATCTATATTTCAACCATTATATTACTGTCACATACCTTGATAACAAGGACAAATAATTATCAAGATACCTGACAGATATCTATTTCATTTTTTGCTCTTTTAAATTCCTTCCTATATTATGAACTCATATTTTCTCTTGATAGGTTGGAGACATCTGTGGGCTCAGGTACCTATCTCTACATTTTCAGGGGCAGGTACGATATGGTTCTACATGACTGTTCATCACAGTCTTGAAAGCCTGGACTAAAGAGAAATAAAAATTCATGAACATGCTCTCAACATGTTAACATTCAAAGTTACACCTTCAGGTAGGGAAGCAGCATTCAACTATCATTCATTCCACACACTTTCTTACATAGACTGCTTTATTTAACTACAGAGTCAAAACATGAAAAATTCATGTAACATCCAAAAGACTTTTTGCACTTAAAAAAAAAAAAAAAATCACTGACACAGTGCAAAGAGAATATCCAGAAGTTTGACTGCAGTGGCAGAGGTTTGTCTTACAAAGGGCTGGATTCTACCTGTTCTCAACATGACTGGGCAAAGCAGACTGGATATTTTGCAAATTTATGTACTTCTTCAAAAATTTAATTAAAGCACATGATAAATAGGAAGGTTTTTTAATTCATCCAGAGTGAGACAAAACATTCTGAGACAACTTGGAAGCACTATCAGGCAAATAGGCAGGCAGATTGCCTTGTGCAATGAAGATTTACTTGCTCTACTGATCATTATCTGGATCTAATGTTTACTGAAAAAACACATTTCTGTTTGTAAACTCTGTTCCATAGACATAGTCAGCTATTATTCTGTACTGTTTATTAGGAACAGAAATAGATATACCATTTACAGGGATTTACATACCTTCTCAGGATTTATAGAGCCCACTAGTGGACAAAACAGAAACCCTGTATTTAACCCTGACAATGGCAGAAGCCAGCATCTTATCAATATGATGTCACAGATAAGGAATCAATGAAGATGAAGTTATTTGTGCAAGGGGTGGGTCCTGGAATCCTTTACAATATAAGCATGTTTGTAATTCCAATGAGGTGCTAATTTAATTATGTGAATGCATTTGTAAAATGAAACAAATATATGCTTTCTGGACTTGTACACATGGTAAGCTCTCACATACCTGTGGGATCTTACAATTACAGTGCCAAACACAATTATAAGTACAGGAACATACTTTGGAAGATGTGATAAGTATTTCATAGCCGTTTTTCATCGTCAAACACACACACACCACTGGAAGCAGAAAATGGGCATTGCAGGAGTTTTTTTGCCAGCATCAGCCCAAATTTGCCATTCAGAGTGACTATCAGTTGCAGGAGAAGTTACTTCTAGGAAGCAAGCAAGGGAAAAGCTGTTTCCCACTATCTCTACAAATGGCTGTCATCCCTTCTTTTCTTTAAAGCGGCTCAGACTATGGTACCTGAATTGTCACTTGCTGACTCCATGGCACCAGGAAGCAAAGGCTTTGAGTCCTGTTTTCTTGCTTCAATGAACTCAGCATTCCCAGCCCAGATTTATGTCTTTCTTGGATACAAGTGGGTGGCACAGGCTAAACTTCCAAATGCTTGTGAAGTTCCAAGATATGAACAAAGATGGTGACCAGATCTATTAAAAAAACCCCAACACACTGACACAGAAGGATAGCCCTCGACCCCAACTACTGATAAATCAAAGGGCACCTCCCTATCACACTTTCAGTTTCCATGGAGAGCATGCAGAGAAAAATACTTGCCAATACAAAGGGGAGAAAAAAGGGAAAGATCTGGATCTGGAAGAGCTGCTTAAAACTATGATAAAAAGAAAAAAAAACCACACTGAGGAACTTGGGAGTCTAAGGAACAACTGCATATAAAAATGAAGCAGGTCTGGCCAATGTCTTAGAAACCCATTGATAATGCTGCCAAAGAGAGGTACCAAGCCCAAGCATCTGAAAATGAGAGTAGAAGTGTGTTAATCACTAAAAATAGAACAGCCCTCAAATTCCAAACAAGGAACTGGCAGGATTCCTGGGGTAAACAGGGATTATGGGACTAGGAAAAAATGGTCTTCTTAAGGGTTAATGTCTATCACATACAGAGTCAACTTCAAGTTCAATTGCAGTTGAACTAGTCAGGTTTTGAAGGAAATCTGCACTTATCCTGCTATGACCCAGTACTTCAGCTTCTGTGATTTAGAAAAGGAATTCTCTCTCAGGCACGAGGGCTGTCCCTACCACGAGAGCCATGAGAGTGACTGGTCACAATAACATAGAGCGATTGCTAGCAGCAGGAGGACATGCAGTCCCATCAACAGATCTCAGAGGGAGATCTTTTGCACAATGGAACAAAGAGGGTAACCCACTAGTGACTTTCTAGGTACAGTTGTCTATCATAAAGATCAGTGAGGATTATTAAGATTTTGTGAACACTGAAGATCTAGCGCAGCAATCCTAGACAAAATTTATCCTATACCTAGGATAGATTGGGTATCCTAAGGAAAGCTATGGACTTTAAAGCATGGAAATTAATCCAGGGCTTTTGAAACAGACTAATGAAAAAAGTCTGCCTTCAGTGTGAAACTGACTAAAGCAAAGAATACATGTGGACTATGTTAAGAAGGCTTGAAAAAATAGCCAAGGGATCTAAGTGAGAAATTAGGAAGACACGTTTCATTACTAACAAATTCAGTCTTAGATATGACTTACAAATTATTACAGGAGGAAAAGGTTCATATTAAGTTGTGAATCTTTTGCATTATAAAATATAATTGATGTTACTACTTTATTAATGCTTCCAGCAAAACAGTATAGAAATGGATACACCTTCCTAGTTTAAACAACCAGCTTTTATACTTTTGAAATGGCCTAACACCATCATTTCCATTGTATCATTTCTAAGAGGAGAATGATGAGATTTTTCCAAGCTCACTATTATTCCAAACTAATTTGTTATCACTATGGCAAGAGGCAGTTAGTCACTTGCATAAAATGAGGGGTTGTGTTTGGATAACTATGAATTCAGGTATCCAAAAGGCTATCTATTAAAATTTGTCTGGGAGAAAAATACATCCTTTTCTGCAGGTTAACAATTTGTTCACAGATCGGTACCAGAAGAGTTGTTAGTGTGATCCTTTTGCTCTTTGAACATGAGTTAGATTCATCCCATAACATCCAAAAATCCGTCAATATTTCTGAAGTTCAGTAAAGTCTCTAGCAATTCTTGAAAACCTGTATTAAAAACAACAATCTGATTAAGAAGAAAGAAAACCTAGGGCAGTGACTTGTCTGTAAATGTAGCTCTAAGAAGTAAAGCA